GATACCTCATTATTTAAGATGGGAGACTTCTTCATTTAAGATCTCATCTCTCCAGCAACAATCTTGCTACCTGCAGTTCCTAAAGAGTGATCCCTAAGTATTTGTGGGTCTCCACAGATGCTGCTCATCTTGCCTGATATTTTTAGAGGTGCCATTTTCATGGTGTTAGAGCTCTGAGCTCCACTGCCACCTCTGAGGTGGTTTGCCTCCTTAAAGGAGCTATCTGTAAGCGAGAAATGAACACTGTTAACAGTGCTTGTGCTCAGTGCTTTTCCTGAAAGAAAGACTCTTGCCCTTGTACTCCTGGTAAAATATAAGGCCTGGATTCCAGTTCTCTGTAGAACATCAAACATTTTCTTTCATTCGTGGGTTTTATAGATTTCATCCATCGTTCAAGTCATTCTGCTGTATTGTCTTCTAAACCATCAGCAACCAGTGCATCTCAGGGAGTTAAGGCCGAACCCAGCAGCAACCCTACCAGCTTGCCAACTCCCCAGAATTCCCCCAAGGTGGCCAGCCAGGCCTGTCCAGGTACGCAATTGCCAATGGGGCAGCAGTCTCACCTCCCCTTCCTCAGCTGCCTGTTTGATTCTCTTTGGGGACAGGGCCTAAATGTATCACATTCCAGACAAAATCAAGAGACCATCCTCCTTTGCCAAGTGTGTCTGATTTTTTTTTTAACTTGCGTTAAGTATTTTAGAAAATAGGTGACTCACAACAGAGTTTGATCTGCATACCAGTTTTTGACCAATAGTTGGCTAATCATTTTAAAAGAATCAGGTTCATTTCCTTTTCTCTCATTTTACCCTGGTGAGCAATAAGGCAAAATGTTTCTCCCCGGATGACAGCAGCCAAAGGATAAAAAGAATTCACACCTGCTGATGCCTGTGCACGTTCCCCATTTGAACTGCACAGTGTTCCTCCATGGGAGGGGCTGCTCACTTCCTAGCCAAGGATGCCAGGGCATCCTCAGATAAGTCCTGCTCATGTGCATCACCATGCATGCCATTTATGGATGTACAGGCAGGCCTTGTGGTGAGCACAGTGCATGTCTTGGGGTCGATTAAAAGGGTCCATTTTATTTGCACGCCCGGCTCAGTTGCCAGGCAACGCACTGCTCACGCACAGCTCTGTAACAGGAAGGGCAGGAAAGGGACAGACTTTGTCTTCACCTTCTATCTCCCGCGTAACTGGCTGGCCTTCAGGGTGGTTTGTGGTGAGACCTGACTCGAGTGGAAGTGCTCCCAGAAAGCACAGTGCTTTCTTCTGCTGCCCTTATTTCCCTGAGGGTAATTCAACCAAAATCTTAAGGACGAGGAAGTGTTATGACTCTTCTGGAGCCTGGGCTCAAAGATTCTGGGCCAGCGTGAGCAACAACTGGACCAGGAGATCATGAGGGTAAAACTGTTCACTCAGAGCTGTAGACATCTGCTTGTGTGTCTTGGGTTTAAACAGCAGAAGGTCCAGGGCTTTAAAATCAGAATGCCTCTGCAAGGGATGCCTGGGCTGTGTCACTTAGCAATTTGGGTGTCTGCAGTATCGCTCTGACATGGTGTCAGCGTCATGGGACAAGGGATATGTTTTAGAATGTAAGCATTGTCTTCTACACAAGACATTCTTCACAGGCCGTCTTGGTTTCTGCTCCTGCCCTATGGCTTTTTTTTAGGAAAGAAGAAACAAATCAAACATTGGAACTTGCCAGCATTGCTAAAGACCTGTCTGTGGATGGGCTGCCCAAAGATCACCTGGGAAGATTTCCTGAAATGCAAATTTCCAAGCCTTGCTCCTAGAGTTTATAAATCTGTGGAACTGCATGAAGGCCTAGAAATATGCATGTATTAGGAGTTTTTCCTAAGTGACTCAAATGCCCTGGCAGGTTTCTATGCCATTCTGAATAAGCCACTCCACCAAGGCCTCTATTTTTAGTTTGGCGCATGAACACATTGGTTTGGAATTCTGAAGTTGGTTTTCATCAGAGTCCTGAACTGCATGCACTAGTAATTAAGATTTCCCCACGGCTCTTGTCCACGCCTGCCCTCCTCAGGATGGGCCCTGATGCTTTCAGAAGTGGAACTCTGGGTACAGGAAGAGTCTTGTCCCAGGCCCAAGGATTGGCCCATCTGGAAGCAGCACTGCAGGAGCCCTTGGGAGCATGCAGGCACGGCTGTTCTGAGCTATCCATACCCAGGATGGCTGCGTGGGGCTCAGTAATGCCTCCTTCCCTTCTGCGGCCAACTGTGTTCAAGATGAACACAGGATAGGTCTGCAGGACAGCCCTGGCATCCTGGCAAGGAGGAAAGGGGAAGAGTCAGCCAGGCCAGTCTTTCTGGTGGCCATGATCGCTTTGGCTCTCTGGGAGCCCCACACTGAGTGACAGCCACCCCTCATGGCGTGGTTTCACCTTCTCAGTCTTTCTGCTGCTCTTTTCTCTCACTTTCTCTCAGCGATGTGTCTCCTTTCTCCCCGCCCCGTCTGTTTCCAGGCTTTCCCTTGCACTCCCTGCCCAAGCTGGTGAGCCTTCCCTGGGCACCACTGCCCTCCGACTTCCTGCCTTTCAGCACCCCCGGCCCCCCCCATGGGCTGCTGTGAGACACCGGGGGTCTCCGTGACCAAGGCACAGCAGGAGCTGCAGATGCTACAGAAGCAGTTGGGAGAAAGTGAGCACTGGCTGTGCATTTGTGTGCTTGAGAGTGGCAGCCCCACACTGGGTGGCTCTGCATGGCTTGGGCTTGATGGCAGAGTTTTTAACACAACACAGGGGTATGTGTTACAGACGAAAGGCCGAGGGAACGCTCCGCTTGCTTTTTTGGAAGTGTGTTGACTGTTACTTTTCTGGAGTGTGTGTCTTGTCATTTAACAGGTGTATGTGTTCATGAGATTGTAGGCCCTGGCTCACACACTGTGGACAGTGTTGCAGACCACCAAGTATGCCGAATCACTGACAGACTGGTGAATACCTTCCATCCCTCACTGGCAAGGGATGGAAGAGGCATTTCGTGCTTTGTCTGTGCAGGATGAAGTAGCCATGAAAAAGGTGACCCCACTCAGGGGACTCTTGTGTGGCTATTATATTTTCCTGTTGTAATACTTTTAATCAAGTTCAGTTCCTGACAGCATCAGGCTGGGGCCAAAAGGGTGGTGGTAGAGGGATCCAGAAAAAAGAAGTGACATAGCCCCTTTCCTCCTCGGACAAGATTCATTCCTGCCTCAGGACAAGTGACATGTAGGCTGCTAGAACCACAACACATGCTCTGATGTTTGATTATGAATTCTATCCTCTGATTCCCAAAGATAATTGATCTTAAGTAGTTACATAATGCATCAACTGGTGTACTGTCATCTTTTAGAAAACTGTTTTGATTTATTTATGGGCTGGATACTGAGAACTAGTAGTGAGCACTTACAGATTAGAAAAAGAAAAAACCCTCACATGATGAATTTTTTCTCTAGTAGTACCTTAAAAAATAACAGGCACTAGAAAGCAATTTGAAATTAACTTAAATCCACTTTCTATGCCTATAAAGAAGCTTGGGTGAGCCAGAGATTGATGGCAAGGGCCATCATGCCAAGGGCATTCAGTGACCTAAGACCACAGCCAAAGACTTGTGTCCTTATCCCTGTATCCCTGAATGTCATTTGGCCCAACCTCTTTCTTTTGTCAATCCCTGAAATGGACACTTTGTCTTTCCCCAGTTTGATTTCCAGAACCAGCTAGACCAAGACCATTTTCAGGAGAGTTTGTACATTCTGTAGGCAGTGAAGTTCAATAGGCTAACTCTTCTGCTTACCAGCTTTACATGGGAACAGCAATCTAGGGCTTACCTAGCAATGTGAACTGGGTCTTACTTGGGCCTCACAAAACTCCTGTGTGATAAATAGAGCTTGTGCAGGAACTAAAGCTCAGGGAAGTCAAGTTACTTGTTCAAGGTCACTAGTAAGTGGGAGAAATGGGCTTGAATCTGATCTTCTGCTCTAGGTTTCATGTTTCCATTATGCCTTTTATACTTAGGATGGTTTTATTATTATTCTGCTTAGACTGTTGGGCTAAGCTCAGCCTGAACAGACTCTGGAAACCCTTTGTAACAACATCTTCTCTCTCTTTAGAGACCAGTGGATGGTGCTAGTGTTTCTGACCTAAAATTTATTACTTTGGCAGTTCTGGTATCAATGATTGAAGGGTAACAAATGTGTCCCATGCCAAATGGCAAGAATATTCTCTAGTTTCATTTTTTTCTCTTCTTTTACTTAATTTTTCCACATTTATCAACTTGTCTTTGTTGAAAGGGTAGGATGGAAGGAGGGCACTATGCATGAAAAGAGTCTATTGTGGGTTAAATTGAAGTCACATTGAGTCTCAGGCCATTGGCCAGAGTTTGGATGGTCCCAGCTTTGGTGAGGAAGATTGTAACCCTTTATTTTCCCACCTGAAGACATGATGTTCTCCAAAACATTGCTTCCCAAGCTCGTTGTTTGCTTTGAACCAATTTTCCATGGAGTCAGTTGGTGTATTGTAGCTTCTCAAGACTCTGGGGGTGAAAATCTTGTGCAAGTCGGTATAGTGCCTTTGCATGGTTTAGGGCATGTGCTCTATATTGTGAGCCAGAGAGCCTGGGATATGAGAATATTGGTCATTATTACTGGTAGACTTGGAACTTCCCATGACCTCGATTAAAAAATAAACTGGCTGTCTGCAACCACTGATTTCTCTCTTTGCCTCGGAATGGGCTAGGGTTGAAAGGGGTGTGGAAGAGGCAGGAAATAATATTTTTATTGAATTCCTACAAAATTTAGGTGCTTAAAATTTAAATCTCCCTTCTTAACTCCCAGCAATCCTAATGAACATCTAGTATTTTACATATTGGAGAGAGAGACACCCATGACAATATTTTTCAAAGTTTTCTACTTATTAGAATCACCTGCTATGATTTTGAACCATCCCTTGCTCAAGATGTATCCCATACCAATGAAGGCAAGATTTCTGGGGGTCTAGATAGCAGTATATTTCCTTACATATTTCCTTAATGTGTTGCTAAATTTGAGAAACAGTTACAAATGGGGGTAGAAAGTGGCTAGTGGCAATTGCACTAACTCCTCCCAGGAGTCTGGCTTGGTTGGAGGAAGCAATGACCTCACTCCTGTTTACGGGAAGTGACCTATCTGTTCTACTGCCCCTGCTCATAAGAAGGGAGTGGGCTTCCGTATTATCTCCTGAAATACGACCCTGCCCTCTTCTCTCTCCATCTCCCCCATGCTGGGCTTCTTTTCACATGGAAGCAGAGATGATGGGCCTTAAGTGAAAAGCCTGTGATGTCACAGGGTCTGTGAGAGTACCGGACTAAGAAATGAAAGGTCCTGCCTCCCTCTTTGGAATAGTGTTCAGTGATTCTTTAGACAGGAGTGGTAGCATTTTTCAGTTCCTGGAATCATGACGGGTGGGATCCAAGCAGCCCTTGCCTTATATAGAGCCTGCCCCAGCCGCAGCCAAGAGTTCTTCAGTCCAGAGGAACTGGGACCACCATATCCAGCTGGATTTCACGTCCCGATTCTCCTCTGAAAAACTTCCAAGGAGAGATGGAAACACTGACTGGCTAGCTTCTGGGGAAGGCAGTACTTATAGGCAAACAGATATTCCTGTTCATAAGTAAGCTCAATCCCATATCCCATTGCACTTTTGAGTCCCAACTTTGGGGTGAGTCCCACTTTGGGAACTTCACTTGGACTCTGACATGAGGAATTATAGTCAGAGCCAGGAGTGGGGCCACTGGACGTTTCCTTTGTGTGCCCTGGTGACTTTCAGATGTGCATCTGTCCTCTATCCCTTGTGTCTCATTCCAGGCCATATGAAGGGCGGAAGTATCACCTCTAGGTTGTGAGTCTTCATCTGACTCATATTCCGCAGTCGACTGCGAGCTCTGACATTCCACGTGTTCTCTTTTAGTCTCCATCCTTAGCAATCACACACCCCCTGCTCATCCTTCCCTGCTAACAACCAATTTGTTTCTAACTCGTGTTTCTTTCTGTCCAGGTGTCAGCACCGTCCCCGCTGTGGCCACAGCTGTATTGCCAAGCAGCCACAGGGAAGCCAGCTCTTCCCGCTACCTCAGCACTGCCCAGTCCCACTCTCCTCAGGGTGGCACCATAGAACTGGGCAGAATCCTGGAGCCTAGCTACCTGGGCGGCTATGGCCCATGGAACATGATGAGGCCTCAGAAAGGGAGCGTGTCTTGGGGAGACCTATCCTCAGTCTCCTCTGTGTACCAGCTGAACGCCAAACCCACAGGTAAAGCGCAAAGTTGATAGGGCCAGTCTTTAAAATAGAATCTCATTCAGAGTCTATGCCTTTCCTACATGGGCAGGACTTTTCTCATTCCCCTTGTCCCTGACTCACAGAGTTGAGTGTGACATGAAAGGGCTGTATCATAGCACAATCCTTCCTATGTGCAGGGCTTCATTCTCCCTACCCAGGGCCTCATGTTCTGTGGGGAGATGGGAAAGTCAGGGCCCTACTCCTCGTTTTCTCTCACTCACGTCATTCTCTCTTTCCTTGCACCCTGACCTCTTTGCGGCCACTCTCTTCGATCCCTCCAGAGTGCCAGGCATAGACGTTCACAGGGACTTCCTTCCGACAGTCAGGAGTCGCTACTAAAAGGGACAATCCCACCTCCCTTCCCATAGTTACCCCTCCCCATAGTTTCCCACCACTGTCAGTCCTTTTATTATAGTATTATGATGGATGTTCAAGGTCCACTATATGAGTGAGAACATGTGATACTCAGATCTTTGTTTCTGTGAAAGGTCACTCAGTATTATAGATTCTAATTCCATCCAGGTTGCTGCGAAATTCAGGATTTTGTTCTTTTTTATGGCGACGTAGTTTCCATCGTGTATATGTACCATATTTTTTTAATCCAGTCCTCTTTTGATGGACAGCACAGTTGATTCCAGGTTCTTGCTATTGTGAACAATGTAGCGATAAACATACTGTGCAGGTATCTTTTTCATAGAGTGATTTGAGTTCTTCAGGGTATATTCCCAGTAGGAGGATTGCAGGGTCATATGGAAGGTCGATATTTAGAGCTTTTAGGAATCTCCACACTGTTTTCCACAGAGGTTGCACTAGTTTGTACTCACACCAACAGTGTAAAAGAGTTCTCTTTTCACCTCACCCTCTCTAGTATCTGTTGTTTTTTGAGTTATTGATAATTGCCATTCTGACTGGAGTTAGGTGGTATCTCAGTCTGGTTTTGATTTGCATCTACCTGATGATTAGTGAGGTTGAACATTTCTTCATGTATCTGTTGGCTGCTTGGATGTCTTCCTTTGTGAAGTGTCTGTTCATATCTTTTGCCCATTTTATATTAGGGTTGTTTGTTTTTTTTCTTTTCAGCACGTTTGAGTTCCTTGTAGATCCAAGATGTTAAGCCTTTGTCAGACCTGGAGTTGGCAAATACTTTTTCCTAGTCTGAGAACTGTCTCCATACTCTCTTGATGGTTTCTTTGGCTTTGTAGAAGCTTGTCAGTTTAGTAAGGTCCCACTTGTCTACTTTATCTCTTATGGCCCATGTGTTTTGGGTTTTGTTAAGGGATTGGATGCCAGTTCCAATTTCCATAAGGGTATGTTCTGCATTTTCTAAGGTTCTTATGATTTGAGGTTTTACATTTAGGTCTCTAATTCAGAGTTAATTTTTGTGTATGAGGATAGATAGGGGTCTTGTTTCAATCTTCTGCATGTGGTCAGCCAGTTTTCCCAGCACCATTTACTGAATATGTTCTCCTCTCCCCAGTGGTAGGTGGTACAGGCTTTGTCAAAGATGACTTGGTTGAGAAAATGAAGTTTTCCTTCTGGAATCTCAATTCTATTCTATTGGTCTATATGCCTGTTCCTGTACCAATACCAAGCTGTTTTGATTATTGTAACTTTATACTAAAGTTTGAAGTCGGTAAGGTGATACCACCTGCTTTCTTTTTTCTTTTGCTGAGGATTGTTCTGGCTATTCTTGGTCATTTGTGTTTCCATATGAATTTCTGTATTGTTTTTTCTAGGTCTGAGAAGAATGTTGCTGGTAATTTGATGGGTATTGCATTAAATCTGTAGATTGCCTTATGTAGGGTGAATATCTTCACAATGTTGATTCTTCCATTCCATGAGCATGGGATATTTTTCCACCTGTTTGTGTCATCTTTGATTTCTTTGAGCAGAATTTTGTAGTTTTCATTGTAAAGGTCTTTCACGTCCCTGGTTAGGAAGATGCCAAGGTATTCCATTTTTTTTGTGGCTATTGTGAATGGGATTGTAGTTTTTTTTTTTTTTTTTTTAATTAATCAGTATTTTTATTATAGTTTTGTGGGGTACAGTTAAGGATTAGGTGTACAATTACGTTTCATTCAGGCACCCTGTTGATAAGAGGTGTTGATTCTTTTATTTTTATTGTGTCTGATTGGATTAATTCAAAATCCTTGCCTTCAAGTTCTGAGATCCTTTCTTCTGCTGGTTCTAGTCTATTGTCAAAACTTTCTACTGCATTTTGTATTTCCCTAAATGCTTCTTTCATTTCCAGAATTTTAGCTTGGTTCTCCTGTTTCTTTTTTTTTGAGTTGGAGTCTCACTCTGTCACCCAGACTGGAGTGCAGTGGCCGCTCCTGGCCACTGCAGCCTCGACCTGCTGGGCTCCAGCGATCCTTATGCCTCAGCCTTCCAAGTAGTTGGTTTTTCAAGATGTCTAGATCTTTGGAAAATTTTTCATCCATGAATTTTTTTCATTTCTTTATGTTGGTTTTCAACTTTCTTCTGAAGTTCATTCACTAATTTTATCATCAGCTTTTTGCATGTTATGCTTGGAATTTCAACAGTTTCATTTTGATTAGGGTTCGTGACTGAAGAGTTGGTTTTCTGTTTATTATTATTTTTCTGGTTCCTTCTCATTGGGTAGATGATTTTTTTAAAAAAATTGAGGTTGGCAGGGGGCTGATGTAGGCACTTTAGGGTTCCCTTGGTTACATATATATAATAATACATCTCTGCAGAGACCTGGCAACATTAGCCTGTGACTGAGAAGGATTCTACTAAAGACACCCTGAAAGCTGGCACCCATCTCTCTCTCTCTATTTTAATTAATATATATATATATATATTTTTTTTTTTGTTTGTTTGTTTATTTGTTTTTTTTTTTTGAGTTGGAGTCTCACTCTGTCACCC